CTATCTAATGGGTATCATGCATCTAGCCCATTGCACATGTGTTTACCCTCCAAAAAATCATACCTTTGGGCCTCTGTGGCACAACCCAGATAGCTCAATATTGCTTTCACACACCACAGATAATATGTTTTTAAAACTTTTTCTTCAGTGGCAGTTTTGAGATACAACCTCCATCCGTTCACACAACTGGACAGACTAAAAGGCTGGAAGACCAACAAAACAAAATTACAAAAGCATTGCAACAACTAATCATGCATAAGCAACTGGTGGAACCAGACATAAGACTGAAACTAGTAACATAACATTTATCAGAGCCTCTCATATTCAAACCAGTGTATCCTCAGGTCTTCTTAACTTGGCTTTTCAGCCCTCCAATGACTTTGGTTTTATTCTTCTGTTCCCCTGTGTAAATACAGTAACATTCATGCCCTGCTTTTGCTGAAAGTTGGTGCTGAGATGTAGAAAATACAGTTTTCAGGTGGACAGCAATTTTGATTTGAAATGTGTCACACTGGGGCTCATTTATGTTTTTAAGTAACATCAGAGCCACACACTGGAAGTGCTGTAGAGGTTTTGTATGTGATTTAATGTGCCCAACAACCCTATGTTCTGTCCAGCAGAAGAAAATTCCCTTCCACAAATCTATGTTAAAATCACCTCCACATCACTTGTAAACACTGAACTAGCAACCTGTCTGTCTATTTTATTGCTTCCACCTGCTGAAACCACCACTGCACATTACACTTTCACTTTAATATTAAAAAATCAGCAACTAGATGCTTATACAACATCCAAAAAAAAAAAACAAAACCAAAATCAGTCTTCACCACCACCTAATCAGGACATAGGGCTGCTTCAGGGACATGTAATGGGACACAGACCCTTCCAGTTGAGCTTCTAGACTGAGTTCAAGCCAGAGTAATTACTAATAAATACTCTTGCCATACAAGAAGCCAAGGCCCATGCTGGTCTCTTGCCAGTGTGAAACAGGGATCTGAACAAAGACTATTTCTTCACAGGTGTCTCATGCCACAGAATTCATCATCACAAGGAAGGCCATTTTGGCAGCCCAGGGGTCGGAGTTGGCTGTCAAGGCAATTTTATCTGAGAAGGTACAGCAATTGGAAAACTGACTGCTGCTGTGTATTTGCAGTGGGAATGCAGAGACAGAACAGGCCTGCTAGGGTTTATGATGTCAGCTCTAGCACTGTGCACACAAATCTGTGATGATCTGGTCCTCACACACCTGGCAGAAAATAAGTGTCCCCGAGCACATCAAAGTTATCCAACACTGCAGTCAGCATGCAAGTGAGCTGGCCTAACAGTTAAGCCTAAGTTGGCCCCTTTTGTCCCAGAGGCTGTCCTGAGCAAAAGGGAAAGCACTGGCACTGCTAAACTGCCAAACTACTGAAAGGCAGCAGCCCCTCTGGTGAGCGTCCAGGCACAGCACTATACAGCGTGAGGGATCTCACATGCTGAAATGGCAACAGCCTAACATATGTTCCATTTAGTATGTTTAATTGACAACCTGAAATAAAAATCAGCTGTGGGAGTAAAGACAGATAAGGGTGAGGGGAAACCAGCTCCTAGACAAGACTTTGTGAATTACAAGGTCTTAATTACATTAAATGCATTATGGTACCATATGCACATCCCTAATATAGCAGAGAAGGAGGAAATGGGACTAGATGCTAAAACTGGAAGTTGAAGGGCTACATTCTAGACTTGATCTCTTAGAAAGTTTCTGAACCACTTTGTCCTAGATTAGCCATCCATAAAACAAAGGCAATAATCCTTTCTTCACAGGGGTGTTGAGAGGTTTAGTTAATTAATGTTTGCAAAGTCCATTGAGATTTCTGACTGATATTTGAAGTAATTCAGAGTACTTTTTAAATGTACTTTTTTCTTGTACTGCACCACTCAAATGTTGTCATATTAAGATATCCAAAGGAGAAGAAGATGGAAAGAAAAAGCATGGAGATACACACACAAACTAGCGGGAAAAAAACAACCCAGCAAACTCAGCACTTCAAATCCACTGCTGTCCCATCAAAGCTGTCAGAATACTGCCACTTCTACAGATGAAGAAGAATGTGTTTGTCCAAACATATGCCACCTTTACCTTGCAGATGTGTTAAAACTTAGATATTTTTGCCTGTAGCACCATATTGGTAAACAACAAGATAATAAATGGCAGAAATAACAGGCAGTCATGACAGGTTGATTGCATCACCAGAAAAGGTAAAAGGGAGAAGAGCAAAGGAATGAAAGCACCAAAAGAGAACCAGAAAGCGAGAAGAGAGTGCTGGACAGGGAAAGTGGCAAGTTGAGTGTAAGAAGAAGCATTAATAAGAGACTCCACGCACAGAGCTGTTCTATGAAACGCATTCCCACAGATGCTCAGGTACACTGGAATACATTATCCAGAGAGACTAGTCTAGCATGAACAAGGCCACGTATGTGTCCCAGTGCCAGAGACAAACTGAATATTGGACACTCTTAAACGCACAAGCACACACAAGGAGCTGCTTGATACCTGAGCTGGGATTTCTCAGTCTCTACATTGTCCCCCATCTCGGAGCAAAACCTTTGTGTGGCCGGTTTCTGTAGGGGGCGTTTGTGGGTTCTGACATACAATCAAAACGCAGACAGGGGAAATGCAAATGTCATTCAGCTCCCGTTCATTGTCAGGAAGGACACATGAGGATAAAACACTGTGCACTGCATCCCTCCCTTATTACGTGTCCTACTGCTTTTGTCCTAATTTATCCCATGCATAATTTATTCACATGTGTATTGTTCCCCGATCAGCAACTTTAAAGAATAAGTGAAAATTATAAAATGTTTTATTAAACAAGTTGTCAACAAAATTGCAGATGGTGTCAGACAGCCAGTACCAATTCTGCTTCCTCCACATAGCCTTAGTACTTTAAAAGGCACATCGAGAAAAGCGAACCCAGCACTTGATGTCTATTGTTTCCTCCTCTCACACCCCCCAGGGGCGACGAGAGGAGAAGGGAGCTAATTATAAATGGCCTCATCCTGTCCTCCCCGACTTTAGCAGCAGCAGCGGGATCGGGCCCCAGTTCATTTCGGCACAAGCAGCCCTTCGGCAGGATCCGCCGCGTCTGCCGGGAGCCCCACAGTGCCGCGAAGTGCGAGGCGACGAGGCGAGGTCCCATCCGCCGGCGGGGCGGGGGCCGGGGTCGCTCGGCATGTTCCCGGGGCCGCGGCCGCTCCCGGGAGCTCCGCGCCTCCCACCCGCCGTCCCCAGAGGCCACCGAGCCCGGGCTTCCCCGCCACCGGCAGCACACGTCCGCGGCTGCTCCCGGCCCAGGTGCGGCCCCCGGGGTGCGGTGCCTGCGCCAGGGCAGCGCCCGGCGCTCGGGAGGGGCGCGGGAAGAAATCGCCCTCGCCTGCACAAGCGCCAAACCTGCCGTCGAACGGGGGGGGCAACGCCGCCTCTTCCGCGCGGTTTTCGGAGCGTGTTCCGTCCCTCGCCACCCACCCGTGAGGATACTCGGACTTCTTTGATTAACCCCCTGGCAACTGCTCTCCCCTCTCCCCGCGGATTCTCGTACCCGAGAGGGCGGGTAAATGAAAGCAAAGGTTTTCTGCCAGGACAGAGCAGGAGATAAACATGTCAGCACCCCTTCCCAGCTCGAGGCTTTCCTTTCCCTCCGGATCGCAGAGAGACAGCCGCAGGAATCCCTGAAAAACCTTCAAGTGTTTTTCCAACTCCAGCCTGAGAGACTTGAGTTGGAAAAAAAAAAAAAAAAAAGAAAAAAAAAAAAAAAAAAAAAAAAGAAAAAGAAAAATCTCGTAGCCCTAATTTCATCTCAGAAAACTCGAAGGTATAAAAACACCCACTCAGCGCAGCCAGAAAGTGCAAACGAAGCGTCACCGCCAGGTACTCTGCTTCCCTGCTTTACTAGCAAGAGCGCTGCCCCCGTTAGCAGGGAAGTCGTTTGAAAAAGGTTAAGACAGCTCCTCTCCCCACATACGGTGCCAAATCCCACTCTCCCTAATGCCTTCGGGGATTAGCGGCGTGCGCTGCAGACCACAGGGAAAATAAAGGACGCGATCCAGAAGACGACAACCGGCTCCCGCGGTCCCCCTCAGAAATCAGCCTTATTTGCAAACCGGGAACCCCGGAATACCTCCGCAGCAGAAGTACCTGCCCCCTTCGTGCCCCCCTCTCTCGCGAAGGGGTCAGACCCCGTTCGGGCAGCCCTCGGCGGCTTGTGCCCGCTCTCAAGGTGGAAACACAATCAACTCTCTTCCCCACTTTGAAAAGCGAAAGCCTGTCATATGCAAAACAGATCTCCAGACTTCCTGCCCCAAATCAGCGACCGGCAGTCCCGAGCCATTCATTTCACCCAAGTCTGCTTCCCTCCCTCTCCTCTTCCTTCTCTCTCCCGTAGGAACGCCGAGGCGCTCCGGCAGTGCCCCCGCTGTCCCGCTTTTCCGACCGTCCAGCCGTGGAGCGAGGGGGGACGCTCCGCTCCCCTTCGCCAAGACATCCCAACTCCCCAAAGATTTGCGGAGGCAACTTCGAGCCGCGGTGCGAGCGCGGAAGCTCCGCGCTCCGAGCCCCCCCCGGGCCGGTGTTTGCCCCGCGCAGCGCGGGGCGAGCCCGGGGGGCAGCGCGGCCAGGACGTGTCAAGTGCGCGCACCCCGCGGGACGGGGACGCGGCCACCGCCGGCCCCGCGCTGCGCCCCGGGAGCGCCGGGCGGGCATCCCGCCGCCGCCCCCCGCCCCGCCGCCCCCCGCCCGGGCTCCAATTAACCCGACAATTTTTTCCTCGTTAATTTCGGCGCGAGCCGCGGAGATGTGTTGCACAAAAAACGAGCGAGTCGCTGGGGCAGAAAGGAGGGCGGAAGGAGGGACCCGCCGGGAGGCTGCCGGCACCCGGCTCCGGCTGGCAGCCAGCGCCGGAAAGGCGCCTTTTTTCATATTTAAACCACGCGGAATATGTACATTTTTGATTCCTACTTACGCTTTCAGGGGGTTGTGAATGACAGTCGCCATTTTGCTACAATGTAACAGAATATTGTGTCTCGGAGTTCTAAAGGTTCGCTCAGGGGAAGCGGCCAGCCAATGGCAGCGCGGCATACCGGCCCGCCGGCCAATGGCGCGCCGGGGGCGGGGCCGGGGCGCTGCTGGTTATTAGGGGAGCTGTCAAAGCCCAGAGGTCACTCCCTCTCCCTGGAACTGCTGCCGAGCAGGTCTTAAAGGGGCAGCGCCGCCGCCGGGGCCGCCGCCGCGCCGGGGGGCACCCAAGGGCTCGGGGCGGCCGGGGGGGACACTTCCCTGCCGCTCTCCAGCTCCAGTTCTAACGCTCCGCGCCGCGAGGGGGAAGCCCGGCTCGCTCCTCGCCCCCTTGCACGGCCGGCGCTGCCCCCCGTTCGGCAGGCGGAGTGCCCCGCCGGGGCAGCGAGCCCGCGCCGCCCCCTCGCTCCGCACGCTGCCCGGCAGCGTCCTCCCCGGGCTGCTTCCCTCGCTCCACAGCCGCGCTCTCCGCCAGGTCTCCGTGAGCCGCCGGCGCTGGCAGCGGCTTCAGAGAAACGCCGCTCCCCCTCCCCCAGGAATTTCCCTCTCCCTGTCAGTCATCCCGGCCCGCAGCCCCTGCGCCCTTACATAACGCGCGGCGGCCGGACCGCCCGCCCGGCCGGCCGGCCCTGCACAGCCCGGCTCGGCTCTCCCACGGAACAACTTCTGGCGCGCCGGGAGCCTGCCCTCCGCTCCCTCCGGCACTGGGAGCCGCGGGAGAAAGAGCCCTGACCCACGTTCCCCCGGACTGGCGATGAGAGAAGCGGGAAGCTGGACCCCGAGCGCGACTGAGAGCAGGCAGAGTCCATTCCTGGGGAGGCAGCAAACTCCAGGAAGTCTGGGCTTACCTGCAACTAATTAAAGGAGCTTGCGAATGAATTATGGAGCATGACCCGAGTGATTTAAGAGGTGTCAGTCCTAATCTCACTCTCAGAAGTAAATCCACTGAAATTCACGAAATCACGCCACTGTAAATTAGGTGTCAACAAGAGCAGAATCAAACCAACAGGTTTCCTCCTTGTCTGATAGTAACGTCAGTTTTGTCATCTCATACTTCTCTCCCTCCCTCAAAGGTCTCATCTTCCTTCAGGCATCCTCTATCCCTTTACAAAACAACCAACCACCACCAAAACCCAGACTGCTTTCCCATTCTTGATATCTACATTACCAAAAGAAACTCAACTAAAGACAAAACACACTGCTGTAAAAGCAGTAAAAGGGAGAAGACTAGAGAACTAACTTGATTCACAACCTAAAGAATAAAAGAATGAAAGCAATGATGTTTGTGAGATATTAGAGTGCTAACAGAAGTAGAAATAGCAATATTCCTGAGCTAGTGGGCTGCAACTGAAAAGGTGAAGCAAACAAAATCTCTCTTGCTCAACTGTTTGACAAAATAAAACTCTCCAACACTGAGGCAAAAGAGGGATGGAGAATAGAAAGACAGAGAAATTATTATTCACAGTGAGAAGGGGGAGATGAGAGTAATGCAGTAGTTTCCCATTCATTAAGGGTCATCAAAAATTTGCAAAAAGTTGAAGTTTAAGGTCTGTCTAGAGTCCCTCTTTCCAAAACATTGCCTACGCCAGCTACTAGGTCAACCTAGGTACTGTGCCAGGCATATATCCCTGGACGGAATTATCTCTTCCATCAAAGCAATCTAAGCCATTTGGTTACAGGCACTGCTTAGGAGAAATAAGCTTTCTGTCAGCTGGAGAGTTGCCAAGATGCTGAGATCTATCCCAAAACAGTTCTGGGAAGTAATCTTTAAGAACGCTTCCATTATCATATTACATTATATTATTTAATACAGTAGTAGCCCAGGTGACATTGAATGTGACTTTAGACCCTCCTGTTCAGTACTCTCACTGCTCACAGGAAAAGCTAACCACAAACTGCCAAGTTGTCATAAGCACACAGTTGATGTACGTGCTGCAAAGAAACAAACGACTTAGCAGGCACCTGAACTGGTGACCGTGGACCAGCAACCCATACTGCATCTCACTATTACGAGGATTTCTGGTTCGACTTCTCATATTGCCACGACATTCCCTCGAAGGCAAACATTTTAGCAAGCATTTACCCTAGGATGGGCAATATTCACTTGTGGGATAACAACGACTTTGCTTCACGCATAAGAAAAAATAGCCTGGGACCGTAACACACTGCAGAACCAGAGACAGATTTGTGCGACTGAGAGAAGGCCCCAAAATCCAGCCAAGCTCTAGAAAGACCTGAGATTTTCTAATGCGAACTGGTGACATTTTCAGAGAATTAAGAAAACCTGCTTGAGGTCATTTTTAGGAGTTTAATGAGTCCCTCTGGTCCTGTTTTGTTGGATATATAGGCCCATTCCTGCTCTACAGGCAAAGAGCTCTTGGTACAGCTTGGCAGGGAACTTATTGCAAAAATTAAGCCACATGTGCTTCCCTGGCTGCTCCTGTTATTCAAACGCTGGGCCTTTATCAGTTACCAGCAAAAGCAACGAACAGCGAGAACAGGCACGGGTGACCTTGGATTGTTGATAGCCCTTCTCCCAGGCAGACCCCACGCTCCTGGCCAGGAGAACCAGTCAACAACACTGCCTCGCTCAGAGGAATCTCCAGGACGCCCAAGGACAGAGCTGCCATATCAGCACAGCGGGAAGTCTCACCCACGGTAATAAAGACATCAGGCTTTGTTCACATGTCCATCTAATTTTCCTACCATGTGTTTCATTTAGAAAAAAAGAGTCACAGAGCCCTGAGTGGCATTTTGCTTTTAACAAACTATACATTTTGTTTACATGTCACTACTTGCAAACAGGGGGAACATCACAAACCTTTATTAATAAAAATTTTATGCCATGCCATAGTTACCTCCATTTTCACATACATACCAGCCCAGCAGCAGATCATTTATGAGCTAAATTTTTAGATTAAATTTTCCTCTGATTTTAGTGTACCATAAGTCACTAATCAATAGTGTTGCTGTTGTTTTACACCCTACAGGACCAACACATCTGAAACACACTCAGTTACATAAATGCTGAGTTACAACTTTAGAATTTTTACAGTTCTACATAGCTACTGTTAGTTTAATTCAGACTAACCTGAAACATAACAATGAGGCTGCAAGAAAGTATAATTTAGAAGTAAATAATTTAGAAGTATTTTGCATAAAAAACCCTAGGTGGTTGTATTTTTAACTAGAGGTTGCCAAATGTTTGGACAGCCAACATACAAATTCTTAAAAAGGAAGGTAAGTTTTGACATAAATCTATTGGGGTTAGATCTATAACACTAACACAAGGTATAGGCATACTGCATTAGAGTGAGCAGGGCTTTAGAAGGCAGAGTCCACCACCTCACCTCCAGTCCCTGATACAGAACTGTACCTGACCTCTACCCAAGTAGAACAGTGTTGAATCTTCTCAGTGTACTGGGGAGTGTCATGTCTCATAGAACGTAACACTGCTCTCCTGATCCACCTCTGTTTCAAACATTTCTACTATTTACATAATGCAAGCACACTGACAATTTCTGTGAGGTCTCAACAATATTCCTGTTCACCCTGGAAAGCCTCATTTTGGCTGACAATATTTCACTGTGAAATAATTTTTACCTGATATTTATTATCTCCCCCTTTCTTTTTCATCTTATTAGGTTTAATGTAGAGTTACTCTTTTCTGGAGGGAGGGAAAGTTAGGTTCTTATTATAAATTCCTCAACTCTTGTGAATTGGAAAGTGAAACAAACTAGACACTGACACTGAAAGCCACAAATCTAATTTTGCTAGAGGGAAACATAAAAGACAAAGCTGAAAAAAAAGAAGTGGCTTCTGGTAGATTAACAACAGTTTAATGTTCTCAGATATTTCCAGCAACATACAATTTTCTTTTCTTTATATATATTAATATTCAAAGTACCAGATTCAAATAGCTCTAAATATGAGAGTGAAATGATGTAGTTTGTTACAGCTAAAGAGGGCCCCACATGCACAGATATCCTGCAAGAAATTTGAAGTCTTAACCCCTTTTTATTTATTAAAGCTGTGCAGGCATCTCTCATACACTGTTTCTTGTCAGACCTCCTCCTCACTTTCTTTGATCTTTATCAATAGTTGCTTAGCTGAAAGAGGAGGAAAAGATATCAGAGTGCCAATGTTACAGACTCAACACCAGCCCTCTACAGACACATCACCAAAAAATTTACGTAGTCAGCATAACAAAGATAACTATGGAGCTACACAGAGGAAAAACTGGCGCCAACAAATCATTCTTCACAACAATGGGAGTTGCATTCTTGGAAGGAATCTCAAATTTATTTTTTTTTTCTAAGCAAAATTTCCCCTGTATAGCTATAGCAACAGTTCTTGGATGGCTTTAGTCTAGCTTGATTTCAGGCCTGATTCTGATTCCCAAAGATTTAATTTTTATATTCACTATGCAATTTTCTATCGGGTACACCTGGATTACTTCTATGCTGAGATCCGGACTTTATTTTTTAGTGGGATGTTTTCATAAAGTAAATATCTTTGAAGAAGAGTCTCTACTATTAAGAAATACATTGAGGCCTCAATCTGAAGCTTTCAAAAGTTTGGGGAGATAGACGTTTTTTAAGGTTCTAGAGTCTGACTCAAATCTGTCCCCAATTTAACAAACTGCTAAAAATCTATTTAGTGTGGCTTCCAGAAGATTCTTTGTCATGCGTTGTTATTAAATTTCCCCAACAACAGAAAAAAAATGTTACAAACAAGCTACTTCAAAAGGGGAATACAACTATGTTGTAGCCACTGCAATACCATAGTAATAGCAGGGAAAGAAATCTAATAAAACAGACACATACTCTGAAGAGCACACATTCAATAACTATGGTCACCCCCTCCATGAGGGGAGTCACTGGTAAAATTTAGAGGGACAAAACTGAGTTCACATCACAAAACTCATGATTTACACATCCAGAGTCACAGGCCTGTCCGTCTTATTTCTTAAGTGAGTAATTAGCTGGGGAAAAAAAATTAAAGGAAAAAAGAATAAAGAAAAATAAAGGAATAAAGAAAAAGAAAACTCCTTTGGGAGTCCT